GAGAATGGAACATATGGAGTGAATGTAGTCAAACGTGTGGACCTGGTTTCAAATATAGTTACTTAAGAACACTGTCACCTTCTAAACAAAATGTGAAACGTGTCGATGTGTGCATGGAGTTTAAGTGTCCAGGTTATTAAATGATTTTTCTTTAAATTAATAAAAATAATTTTTAGTTCATATATACAATGCAAAATATAACTTTATCGCGGTCCGGGCTGACGTTCAGTTAGGACCTTTTACCTTTTAAAATAGCTGAAAGTGCATTACATATCTATTGATTAATGATATAAGTTTGTTATCAATTAGATTAAATAAATAAATGATACAAGAAATGCATGTAACATTATTGTTGAGTGCACTCAACAATAGTGTTACACTTTCTTTAGTAACAAAATATCAGATTTGAATAGTAATACTTTTATTGTACCAGGAATAAAACATAAATGTGCGCTCCTACCTTTTCGGTTATCAAAGTTATTGATGTATCTTCGAAGTTTATTTCCCTCGTGACATCAATACTCACAAAAGCCATTTTGTTCTTCATCAAAAAATATCTTCACCAAGTTTTTAAACTACAGTAACTCATTTCCATAGGAGTATGGATTTAAGTTGTTCTTTATTTAAACTACTATCATTTGAAAAAACTAGTGATATTGTATTTACAAAGACTGTCTAACTTTTTTTTAAATAACACAGGTCTCAAAAAAAGCGCACTTTCATAGAGATTTTGAAAATGTTATTTGTTTGTTTTAAAAATGTATTTTTTGTATTATTGCTAAAAACATTTTGTTAAAATTATTTGAATTGTCTTTACCATTTTTTCTCTTAGTTATTTTAACAATAAATTATAAGAAAAAATATTGATGTTTTCTAAAACTCTATGAAAATACGCTTCTTTTGAGACCCAGGTTAACATACTTTTGAATGACTTTTTTTTCATCAATATTAGGGACTTTACCCTAAATACTAAAATTTTGAACCCAAATATCTTTACAATTTGAGGTGATGGTAAAAAATGAGTTGCATATTTGAAATCAAATCGAGAAATTCTATACATAAAACAAATTACTTGCTCGGCACCAAAAGAAATTTTTTTTTTGACCTGCGTAATCTGCTTCTACTTTAATTGTGTTATTTTTATTCCAGCCAAAGGCACTGTGGCAATTTTTTGAATGCTCCACTATTGCCAAATTCTATCATTTTTCTTTTAAAGTATGTCATTTAGTATGTATGTAAAAGTATGACGTTGGCCAATGCAAGTTGAAACCTTTAGCTTATATTTACTTAAGTAAAATTTTCCACATGAACATTCTAGTTTGTAGAATCTAAAATAAATATTGTTGGGAAGTTGAGGCTTGTTTTTTTTAGTTGATTATTATTGAGGGTTTTTTGGTGATTTAAAACCTGGTGTATACTCTGCATTTAAATACCTTTTTGTTAGTAAATAAAAAAATGTTAGAAATGGTAGAAAAATAAATTTAAGTTCTAGTTTTTGTCTAGTTGATGTTGTTATATTGTTGATTATTTAGCTTATTGTTTTATTTTATTGTTTATATATATATTTATATATATATATATATATATATATATATATATATATATATATATATATATATATATATATATATATATATAAATATATATATATATATATATATATATATATATATATTTATATATATATATATTATTGTTTTGCTTGTTATCTTTTTAAATTCTTAAATAATTATAAAACAACTATAAATATAAAATATACAACTAAAAAAGAAAATGATTCACACAATAAAGTTTCTTGATCTCTCATTAACAAAAAATAAATCCAGAACATACCTCTTGAATATCTATTGCAAAGATTTTATATTAAATGTGCAAATAAAGCCATATTCTAGCCAAGATCAGCATTAGAGTTTATGATGTATTCAAAGGTTTTATCCAAAGAGTTTTTATATTATGCAGCAAAAAACATGTAAATTAGCATTTTTTACAAAAATGTTTTTAGAAATGGTCATAATAAACATATGCTTCAAAACATTATCAGATAAATAAAAACCAACAAACTAAATAATCATCAAACCAGTAACAAAAACATCAAAAAATTAATTTAATTTTTCTATGCCTACCAAAGTTAAGCATTCAATTAAAAAAGGTGTTTAAAATCCAGGGTTTTTAAGTTTTTCAATCACCTCAAACCTTCAACAAATAATAATTTAAAGAGACAAACCTTTGACTCAGCAACTCTTATCCTGGTTTCTATAAGCTAGAGTTTTCATGCAGAACATTTTTTGGAGGTAAAACGTAGCTCAAGATTTCAACACGCTTTAGCCAACTCAAAGACATGCTTTTGTAAAAATACAAAAATTTGACATTAGTAGAGCATTCAAGAAATCGCTTTTGTGACTTCGACTGGAATGAAAGTAACGCAATTTAAGTAAAAGCAGATTCATTTTGAACAAAAGTAAGGGAGTCTTTGCAAATACAATATCACCAGTGTTCTCCAAATGACAGTGTTTAAATGAAACAAATGGCAATATGTGCAATTTAAAAATGAACGCGTCAATTCGTTTAAAATTTGAATATATCAAATGTCATTGTAATTTTTTATTTTTTTAGTTTCATAAATTGGTAAAGGAAGGGTTAACTGAAATGAATTTGAAATTAGGTTAAATAATGATTTTATTAAGTATAAACAAGCTATATAAAGTTATAGAATAAATTGACTTCATGATAAAACTTTATTAAATCATTTAGTGGATTGGAAATGGAGTTCATGGGTAGAATACAAATCACTTTCTAATTTGTATGGTAATTGCTTTACAAGGCGAGAAAGATTTTGCACTAACTCTTTACCTAAAGACGCAGAAGGTGGATATGATTGCTTTGGCCTCAGTCTGGATTTTCAAATTCTTGAAAGCACAGAATGTCCAGGTAACATCTACTTAATAATATTTTAATTATAAAACAAAATAACAAAATAATTCTTTTTTATAAAACTATAAAAAATAAAACAATAGTCCATAATTTTTAAACTTATTAATTTTCTTTTTGATTTTTAGTTCATGGTGGGTGGAATCAATGGTCTTTTTGGTCATCTTGCAGTCAACCTTGTCAAGGTGGTAAACAAACAAGACGCCGTAGTTGCAATAATCCATTACCAAAGTATGGCGGACTACAATGTAATGGAAATGACATCGAATATAAAACTTGCTATTCAGATAGATGCAAAGGTAAATTTTGATTAATTTTTTATTCATCTTTTTGAAGAAATGTTTTCATTTTTACTAATCTTAACAAATAATAAATTCTCCAGCCTTTTTATTATTAAGACAGACAGAATTTTGTTGCTGTTTTATTTTTTTTTTTCAAATTAACGAATTTAGTTACAACAATATTGCAAGAATATTTAAGTTAGGTGTTACTAAAAAGTGAAGAAGGAAGTAAAAGAGAAAGAAAACTGTTTATAGAGGACTTAAAAAATTGTTGATTGTGTGCGTTAAAGAATCTAAAAGTGGAAGAGAATTCCAAGGCTTTAGTGTTTGAATGGAAATTAGATAAATAAAGATTTCTTGTGCACCAAGTAGCTTGCTTCAGTAACTGTTGTATTCTTTTTTTAAAAAAAGAAAAGAATGCAAAGCCTAAAAATTAAGTGTTTTTAATTCTAGGCAGAAATTTAAAAAGTATAAAAATAAATTAGTTTCATAAAAAACAAAAAAAATTAGTTTAATAAAGTTTTATCAGCACATTTAAGTACAAAGTATTATTTGAAGTCAAAATGATTTTTTTTAAGTTTAACATTCACTCAGCATTTAAAAGAAATGATTTATATGCGGTTGCACTTTACTAACTGCTGCATTATTATTACACTAACTAAATACTGCAACTAAAAAATATCATATCACTTTCCTTCATTAAAACACTCGGATGAGCTTGGATATGCAAAACTTATATATAAGGTGCAATCAACGGGGTCTTCATTGTTTTTAATTTCCATATTAGGGAATGTTTCTATCTTCTCTTTAGATAATTTGAGTTTTTTGTAGCGAGTTTTATAGCATATTATAAGAATGTTCCTGTAACCAGCCAACTGTTTATTAATTTTTTTTTCATATTTTTTAATCTGTCAAAATTCATCAAAAACAAATTTGTTATGGATACTCATTGGTTAAAGGAGACAACATTGTTTAATGGAGGCAGAACATTCCTATTCTATTAAAAGTGTTACACCCTTATACTGCCCTGATAAAGAAGATCACAGTAACTAAATTTTCAAGTATAATTTATTTTAGGTAATACCTTTTTTTTTTTTTTGGACCTGGTGTGTAAGTAAGAACACCGTATGTGATCTTTAAGTATCTGTTTTAGATGTTTTAATTTCACGGTATTTGTAGGAAATATTAAATAATAATTGTGTAAAATAGATATTTTTCAGATGTTATATTTTTTCTTATCAGTAAAATATAGTCCTACGCTTTTCATACAATCAAATATTTTATGTAGGATTTTTTCTCTAATATAGTATAATGATAACGGTGTGAGGTACATAAAAAATGCAATAACTCAGTTTTACATAAAAAGATAGAATTAGGCTCAACTAAGTAAAGATAGAGCCTTATTATCATTTTTGATATAAACTTTGTTGCACTATAAACTATGACTTTCAGTTTTTTAGTAATATTTTTTATTGGTTGGCAGTTCTCAAGCTCTTCAAATTTTATCTGTATAGTTTATCTCTATTTAAAAGTTATTGTTTATTTCTTTAGATATGACAGTAAACCTCAACCTATTTTTTAATGATAAAGATTATATAGAAGCGTATTCTGATCCAACTAATGAACCATCTGAAATCCTAAAATACAGTATTAAAAATGCGGTAAAGTTTTCTTTAGTTACATTTTTAATCTGTTGTATTAAATTTGTTTCCGCATTTACTAAACTGAGTTTTTTTTAATATCTTTCTAGATGCAAAATCTTTATAACAAGTTCAATAAAAATGTTCAATTTGAATTGATATTGAATTCTTTAAAGTATGTAATTCATTATTATTTATTGTTCAAATATAGAACTGTATAAATTTTTATTAGTTATTAAATACTAAATAAAGTAAAGCTTTAGTTTAATAAATAAAGCATAGAGAACTGAAAATATATAATAACTTTTTCTCATTCGAGAACTTGTCATTATTTTTTCATTTAAATAATAAAAATAAACAGATATTGAGTTACAAGAAAAAATAAAAAGAGAAAATTTAAGATAAGATAAAAACTAAAATTAAAAAAATGTTTTTAAAAAATTTAAAGTTTTAAGAGAAAAAAGATTAAATGAAAGTAAAAGATAAAAACGAACAAAATTATCAAGTGTAATTATCAGGTGTAATTAAGTTAACTATGTAAGTGTAATTATAAGATTTCCTAAAATTTTCGTAGTGTTTATAAACTACTTCTTCCCGAATTTTGTTAAAGCCTTCAGAACATTTTTTTGAAAGAGTCTCTAGTAAATCTGTCAAGTACCACATATAAAAAGCAAAAACTCAAGACTGCAAGTTTCAACTTTTTATTTGAGATCAAAAGGAAAGTTGAAACTACCGGTGTTCAGCTCAAAATTGGCTGCTTTATCTTGCTGAATAAAAGATAAAGTTTATCTTGCTGAATAAAAGATAAAGTTTATCTTGCTGAATAAAAGATAAAGTTTATCTTGCTGAATAAAAGATAAAGTTTATCTTGAATTACATAACCAGAAGTTTTTAATAGTAACTCTAGTATAGAAAGCAGAATTTATACTAACTTAAAGTAATGTATAGATATTTAATTCGTATTAAAATTATATTGTAAAATAATTCTCATTACTTTGGTTATTTATTAGTTATCATTTTAACTTTAATTACACACCTAGTGGGCTGGCGACTAAATCAATTCCTACCGGAGCTTTATAGAGATTTTTATGTAATTTTTTTTTTTTTTTTTTTATTTAGTTTTTTCCTGATGTCTTCAACATCTTTAAAAAATCGACTTTTACTGTTGAGCCTTTTGTAGTTATGAGAATAATTTAACTTTAAGCATTGTGTTTTGTAACAGTGTGTCGCTAGCTACTTATTGTAAATTCGGAACAAGCTACAAAATATCTACATATCTATAGCTTGTTGACAGCAACATATCAAAAAATTTTAGACAGCGATTTTATTACTATATGACCTTAGCTACAATAGCCAGTGGTTTTTTAGCTTATTAAGCTAACTGACCTTGTTGCCAAATAGCTATCTTTACAAATATTGATAGCTTTTCAATAACTTAAAAAAACTTGCTATCCTCCAGCCCAAATCGCTGTTTTATTGTAACGATTAAAGCTAGCTATTCGCTAGCCGATTTTCTTCCGGGCAACTATTCTTTAAATACATTATCTTAAATTAGCCCTTCATTTATCGCAGAACCTATCAGTTTAAGCATCTTGTTTGCTATAAAAGTTGCCTTGGTTGAAACTGATAATGTTGAATAGACATTTAATCAAAAATACAAATTCTTCTATAAATAAAGATTCTTCTATAAGTTTGGACTATTTATTCTTCTAAAACTAATCAAAATTCTTGTAACTAGCTTTTTTCATGTTTTAATTTGTAAACTTATTTAAACTTTACTTAACAATATTATTTAAAACAATAAGAAAAAATCATTGTGCATATTTGAAAGTTTTTTGTACTATACTGCAAATTTGTTACTAATTACTAATGAATTAGTTTCGCTGTGTTTCATTTGCTGGAAAAAATCCGGTAAAGTGGCTTTTTACCAACTGATTATCGTTACTATGATGACTTTTATTACAGTGCGTTAAGAATTTATTTAAGAATTTTACTTAAAGGTCTGCGCCTTATTTAAAACAACAAAAAAAAAATCATAGTGGATACTTTATATTTACTTTATAAAATATTTTTTCGTATTGAGACGCAAATTAAATACTAATTACTAATGAACGAATTTGGCTGTTTCATTTGCTAAAAAAAATACGGTTAAAATGGGTTTCTCCAACTAATGTTGTTACTACTATGACTTTCATTTCAGTGCGGCAAGCATTTAAATCAAACTTGTTTTTTGTTGTTGTTGTTTTTATGCTCGTTTATTGAAGAAATATGTTTAATAATACTTAGAAATCTCTTTAGCTATCCCTCTTTTTTGATTGCTTTTTGAGGTTTTAAATAACTTAAAAGCAATCTTAAGTTAATTAAAAGGTCTTCACGACAAAATAAAAATATAAATGTCCTCACTACAAAACTAAAAAAATGAAACCAATGGCTCAGCTCCTTGTTTTTTAATTTTAAAATATGCAGTATTCAAATTCAAATTTGAGCTTCGAAAAACTGAATTCTAGATTTGCAATCTAAGTTGATATTGTCAGGTGACTAAGGAATATAAAAAATCACAGAAGTAGCAAAAGAACATTTAAAGTAATAAAGTGCTTATTTTCTTGGTGTCCTAACGTAGGGATCTGGGCTTTAGGATTATGGTTAGGATTGTAAAAACAAAAATTAACAAAATAATGAAAACATAACATTTAATTGTTTCCGAGATTATTACTATTTTGTAGATAAAACAATTTCCTCCCTAATAGCCTATAGTTAGAGTTTTAAAAGAGTTTTGTTCAGTTGCGTAAAGAACTGTGGAGTTGATGTTCTAACAAACATTACGCAGAAACTATAGATTTTTTGAAAAACGCTATGGATTGTAGGATTAACATTTGGAAAAGCAAACAATTTAACAAATTAATAAGAAATTTGACAATCACTTTAAAAATCTTTACTGTGATAGTTTAGCATGACTGTAATGAAAGTTATCATAGCAACGACAATTAGTCACCGGAATAACGCCATTTTGACCGCATTTTTTTAAAAAAGGAAACTCAAGGAAACTCGATTATTAGTCAATAATTTACGCCTCAGTATGTTACAACTACTTTTTATATGTCCACTATGATCTTTCCTTTATGTTTTAAATAGTAAAGTGAAGTGATTATTAATAAATTTACTTTTATGCAAGATTTTTATTTTTTAGAGACGAAGAGGAAAGTCAATAAAAATCTTAAAAGATTGAATTTAACGATAAGGTTGATAAAATCCTAATTTTTCAGTGTTAAGTGTCTTTTAAAAAAAATCTACATCTTTGTAAAGATATAGATTAACTTTTTCAAATTATTTTAACTTGAGTTAAAATAATTTGAAGAACTTTCATAAATACTTTTTTCTAAGGAAAGTTAATGTATTAACATTTTTTTTCTATTTTGTTTGGGTATTGCCTTTCTTTTTTTATTTGTTTAGAAATTTTGAATATATTTGTTTAGAAATGTAAAAATTTTGTATTTATTTGTTATTTTAGAAATTTTGTATTTATTTGTTATTTTAGAAACTTTTTATTTTATGTTTTAACAATTTTTAGTTTCCATTAATTGAATTAAAGTTAATTATTTGCTAAAAAATTTTGTTTGTAATATAGAAAAAATTTATACTCTATAAAAAAAGTTGGAAATATATTTTTTAAAAAATTATCTTGAGGCTTTTTTTTTATAGGTAATATAACATAATACGTAAATAACGATATGTAAAACTTTGATCTTATAAGACTTACACAGTCGTAAAAAATGACCAACAAATACTATTGAAAGAAGAGTAAATTACCTGTCTGGGGTGAAAGTACATGGCCCCTAGATTACTGGGAAACAAAAAAAACCTTGGCCACGTGTGCTAGGTTTTTGGTCATTCCACGATAAATAGTCTAATTTCCGAAATTATTCCCACTCAACCATCTCAGATTTTGATAAAACTTTCTCAGTTTTTCTCAGAAAACTAAACCTTTTTCATAAACATTTAGGTTTAGGTCAAAATGTTGGTGATTTCGCATTTTGTGGTACTTTTTGTAACTCAAATTTAGTGGTTAGAAGTCATATTTTCGGGTCTTATATTTTTGCAATCAAAGAATAATACATCTTAAAAACGTGATTCTTAGTAAATCAAAGATGCAAATTGCAAATGGTACAATACAACTTTCATATAATGCCCAGAATTTCGTCCAACAAAATATCGTCACAAATTCAACAACATTAACTTTTATTGTTTTTTTGTAGGGTCATATCTCCAAAACAAAAAGTGGAACACCAAGAAAAGTGGAATTTCAGCACTTCCATAAAGAAATGCAGCAAAGAAGTTACCAGAATATGTTAACAAAATGTTTTTAAATTTTTAAGAACACAAAGCATTATGCAAAACATGTCCTGTAAAAAAGATTTTTGTATTGGTTGCTAGATCGTCGTTAGGGATAAACTTTCATACTATTTTTGAGGTATCCCTTTTTTTAAATAGATTGATATAGGGTTTAGGTCAAAGTCACTTTTTTCAATATTTTTAGTTACTTAAAAAAAGGAAAAATAATGCAGGGTTTGCAGTTTTGTGTTACACACTCACTCAATTCTCAGTACTTTAATGATACTAATTATATTTCTGCATTTTTTAAAACTGCATTGTGCTTTCAAAATACCTCATACATAGAGAACTAAATAAGCAAACCCGAGATGTTTACAGTAACACGACTACTTTTTTCAAAGTTTGTGTTTGTTGGTCTGCTGTGAAAACTAATAAATATTTATGAAAGTGCATAGTCTACATTATATTGTTCAAATGTTTAAAAAAAGGGTTGGCAACCCGCTGCTTGCAAGCCAAATTAAATGTTAAACTGGAATACGTTTATAAATTGTAAACTTTGGCTCTTCTGAAAGGTTTCCAACCCAAGGTTAAAACAAACTATCAAATGCATAACTTTTTTATATTAGACTCAATTAGAAATAGTTTACTTTCAATGTGAAATTCTATTAGGTCAAAAGTTAAACTAACGACGATCGGCACATTCACGGATTGTGACTTTGCACTGTGCATAAATTATGATAAATATTAAACATCATCTAGGACTAGGGCTAGTGATAGGGTACTCACCCGTTGTTTACTATTTGTGTTATTAAATGCTACTCGTAATCCCAAACTACCCAAATGCTACCGTTATTCATGCAAAAACAATGTATATATATATATATATATATATATGTATATATATATATTAGGGTGGAGGGAAAAAAATTTTTGTTGAATATCTTGGTTGGATAGCTATAAAAATTTGCTGACATATGCAATTAGTAATGTGGCAAACAATCAAACGATTTAAAGCATATCTTGAGGTTCCACAATTGATCTGAATTATAGGCTATTTCAAATAAAAAACAATATTTTTTGAAATTTCAAGTTTATATATGACAACATATTTGTGTAGCAGTATTCATTTTTAACAGTCTATACAAAAGTTACAAGTAAATAGCACTAAATATTTGAAAAAAAAAACATATGAAAACTCTAGTCAAACATAATTTTATAGCTACAAATGATGTTATACGTTAGTGTCCAGTTTCGGCATTTTTGATCTTGACTCCAAACGTGCTCTTATGAATCCGTCGCGTTTTTCTGAACTGCAAACCGCTTGGCAAGCTTCTGTAACTAGCTTAATATGCCTCTCTACCGACTGAGTGTGACAAGGATAGCATGCGAAATCCAGTCTTGGTGTATCTTCTTCCCGGATTATGGTTAAAAACGTATCGTCATCAATGTCCATTACGATTGGAGGCTCTGTGATTGGAGTTTTTTGCCAATCGATCATGTCTATGTAACTGGTAGCTTCAAAATTGATTACTGGCACACAGAAAGATCTTGCTGAACTCGTGCGCTTCTGCTTCCTGGATTTCATTATACGTCTCAGAGCCAACTCGCGTATTTCTGATTTTTCGTCGGTAAGCATCGCAAGCAACAGGTTTTCTGGATGAGTAAAAAATGCGTTGCGTTGAATTACTGGATCAACAACTTTCTTCAGCTCGTCTGTGAGGTAGCGTGATTTCAGTATTGTATTATGGACATATCGAGCGCCATCTTTACATGAAGAAGTATTTTTTATTTCAAACCATGCTGGTGCATAAACTGTTACGATGAAGGTAACCATTGTCTTCAGTTCATCCGATGGGCATCTTGTGGCTATATACAGGAGTAGTATTCGATTAGCCGTTGTTAACCATCTTGAATGATTGATAACACCAGGATTGCGAAGTGAAAGGCCTACAGGACAAACGCCAACACTGACAGCGGTGCACAAGTCAAACAGATATTTTTGATCTGTACTTAAATCGTCAGAATTTAAACCTGTCGGTAGAACACAGTTTATGGGTGTGTATTTGACAACGGGAAATTCTCACATGCCACCAATGATTTTCCAATTGGACCAGAAAATCCTTTTGGACCATTGGTAGGTCCATCTAGATGTTCGAACAAATGCCTTAACGGTAATTTGTTAGCATGTAGCTGACATACGAACCATTGCAGCGGTTTGTTCAACGCCACTTCAAGTAATCGAATGATACCTCCTCGATTGCCTGTATTAGCAACGACTCCGTCACAACCTACAGCTTTTATACCACCCAGGTCAACATTCTTTTCACTCAAATATGCAATCAACTCAGCCGCAATAACTTTGCTTGACCCTGCAATTGGTGTAATGTGACCAAAATAGATGGATCCTGGTTCGGATATAATGGATATATGTTCTTCAGTTGTTAGTTTTCGATGAAATTTCCCATCACATTCTTTAATAAGGGTTATTGTACTGTCTTTTCTTCCATCAAAATATAGCCCAGTGATTGTGTTACTGACATTGGCACATAATGTTCCACGTTTTTTACAACGCTCTCGTTGCACTTTACTTCTGTCAATCACTTTAGAAACATCTCTTTCGTGGATTATTCCAACATCTTGAAGAACAGCACTGGCGATTCCTGCTGCGGCCCTGTCGGATACACCATGTCGATCACATGCTAACGCCAGAGATGGTAACTTAACTCTCATCTGCTTGTCACTCAACTTTCTAAATTGTTCATTAGGATCCGGCATACAATCGTAATCAGATTCGTCATCGCTAGCATCAGTTTTCTCTTCCATAGAAGAATACTCCTCACAAACATCTGACTGTTTCTCACTAATGTCATCAATGTCAGATTTGATTGTCAGGCATTTCAGAGGGAGCATCAAAAATGACACAAGATGACACAAGACTTTTTTTCTGGTTACAGCCATTAAATATGAATTGTTATTATAAATGAATTAAAGTATTATCTTATATGAATAAAATGTTTTGCAATAAACGCTGTTTGTGTACTCTAGACAGGAAAATCGCACGTGAATACGTATAAAAATGAACTACAATAAAAAAAATACCGGATAGTAAATGCTTATAAATGGTTAAATTTTGAAGTTGGTTGTGGAACCTCAAGACGTTACCTAAATTAATTTTTTTTTTTTACGGAGTAATTGATTGTATCACAGAGCAAGTTTTAATAACTATCCAAAGTCAAGCAAACCAAAAAAAAATTTTTTTCACGTTTTCACTCCACCCTAATATATATATATATATATTCAAAACTTTTGAAACTTGGCACAAATGTTTATAGACATATATTAGGAAATATTGTAATTTTGTTTCATAAAATTCCTTACGGTTATAATTTACAGCAATTTGAAGTTTCCTTGATTTTGACTAAAAACTGAGGGGGGAAAAGTGCCGAAAATCATTCCGTTTACTTTCACCTTAATGATGCCACAATTCTGAAACTTTGTACCAAGGGAGTTTAAAACCTGCTAAATCCTAAAAATATAGTTTAAATTATAGTGAGAAAACAAGGGAATATAGTGAGAAAACAAGGGAAAAATATAGTGAGAAAACAAGGGAATGTAGCTTATTTTAAGATCCATAAAATGCACTTTATAACGCCGAGAAAAAAAGACATTGACAATTATAGCTATAAAAAAAATTTGACTGATACAAAAAAAAAATTAATTTCGATTTTCTTAAAAATAAGATCAACACCTACTTTCCGAACCAATTTTTTTTGGCCTTATATTCACTTGAGGAATTATTGATGTTAGATATAGACATAAAATTCTTTTAATATTTTTTAAGTTAGACACTTAAAATAACCCCAGCTTTTACCAATCAATCAAATTAGAAACTAAATATTTAGTGACTTTATTATCTTTTTCATTTTCATATGATATTTACAACAAAATTTAGCG